CCTGGCCAGGCCACCACAGCAGCTGACATGGAAGCCCGCCTGGACTGCGGCCTCGTCAAAGGACACGCCTACGCCGTGACGGACGTGCGGAAAGTCCGCCTGGGCCACGGCCTGCTGGCCTTCTTCAAGTCGGAGAAGCTGGATATGATCCGGATGCGGAACCCCTGGGGGGAGAGGGAGTGGAACGGCCCATGGAGCGACACGTGAGTAAAGCTGGGGTAAGGGGGCCTGGAGGGGGTCGCCAGCTACCCACCCGCCAGTGTTCCTCAACCAAGATCCTGTGTGCTTGTGGGGTCTGTGGTGTGACGAGGGGTGTTATGGGCAGATGGGATGAACTGTCTCCCAGGGGTGCCGGAGCTGGTGAAACTCAGGGCCCTTCGCTATTTGAAAATGTTTCTGATGCCACGTGATGTCTCAGCCAAGCAATGGGCAGTTTGGCTTCTCCAACACCCATGTACACAGGCCTTTTCCTGAGGAGGCCGGGCGCCGGCTTCAGGGGCTGTTTGTGATGGGATTGCGAAGAGCTGAACGCTCTCCCGGGGCCCAGCAGACTTTATATGGTTCATCAAGGGTCTAGTGGGTGTTATGGGCCAGATCCTCAGCCTGTTTACACCCAGCGTATCTGAAGGAGGGAGTAGAGAGTGGCTTGAAGTCACCTTTTGGCTCCCCCGATCCAGGGCCAGGCAAGGTGGCCCCCAGTAGGACTCAGCCTACGGCACCCCTAGGAACCTTAGAGCTGGCGAGAATTGTGGGAGAATTGTATTCTCTGCCCTGGCACACCCCACCCTGATGCCCCCTCCATGGAGGTAGGGGGAACAAGTGATTTAGAGACAGCATAGATCTATTCCCCCGCTCCCCACCCGTGTCATGGGGAAACCTCAGCTGCCCCTTTCTGGGCAGCTTTCCAGCTGCTGTGTGGTTCTGAGGCTGGCGCGGGAGCCCGCGGATCTGGCCCTGCTGGGTTAGCCAAGCAGCTCTGCCGTGCCGCTCGTGAAATCTGTTCGCCCCTCGGGTGGAGCCTGAGGAGGTTGCTCTAACTGCATCAGCCAGGCTGTGCGAGTTCAAGTTTGCAAGCTCCCCTGGCACAGCTGGTGGGGTTTGCAAACTCTGTGGGCCAGATCCCCAGTCTGGCCGAGGTGTGCTCTGCTCCGGACACAGGGAGGGGAGGGAAATGTTCGATCTAAGCCACTTACCCACTCCCCTGAGCCTTGGGGGTTGAACTAGCCCCCAGTGTAATCTAGAGCAGCCCAGGGGCTGCACGAGCTTTATGCCATCCAGCTGTCTATCCCCTTTGCTCCACCGGAGGGCTCAAATGTGGCTAAAGTAATGCACAGGCCTCGTGCTGGCCCCCCACTTGGGGCAGATCCCCCAGGCTGAATAAACAGCCGAACCCCAGCATGTCTCCCCTTCTCTGCTCGGTAACGATTCTCTTCTCTTCCCCTCGGCAGCTCTGAGGAGTGGCAGAAGGTGAGCAAGAGCGAGAGAGAGAAGCTGGGGATGACGGTGGAAGACGATGGGGAGTTCTGGTGAGTCCCTGCTGAGTTTTGTACAATGTCAAGGGGCAGCTGTGTGGATTGATTACTCCCACCCAACCATTTCCCATTGAACTGGCACGGGAGTCGCGGCACGTAGCAAAGGGAGGTCTGAAAATAATCCACGCCAGAGGCGCTTCAGTGAAGGATCCAGTTCACAACCTCAGGGGAACGCGTCAGACCATGTGGAATTAGCGCTGTGTGACCGGAACCCTAGGCGAATATGTCTCTTTGTCGCCCCCTAGTGGCTGGTCCGCATTTGGGGTTTTTCATTTGTAGTCCTTCACTCAAGCCAATAGAAGCCCATGCTTTTAAATAGGGCTCTCAATTAATCACAGTAAACGCACGCGATTAACTCAAAAAAATTAATCGCGATTAATCGCCGTTTTAATCACTCTGTTAAGCAACAGAATACCAATTGAAATGTAGTCAGTATTTTGGGATGTTTTTCTACATTTTCAAATATATTGATTTCAATTACAACACAGAATACAAAGTTTGCAGTGCTCACTTTATCATTTTTACAGTGCAAATATTTGTAATAAAAATAATAATATAAACAAAAGAAATAGTATTTTTCAATTCACCTCATACAAGTACTTTAGTGCAATCTCTTTATCGTGAAAGTGTAACTTACAAATGTAGATTTTTTTGTTGTTACATAACTGCATTCAAAAACAAAACAATGTAAAACTTTAGAGCCTACAAGTCCACTCAGTCCTACTTCTTGTTCAGCCAATCGCTAAGACTAAAAAGTTTGTTTATATTTACCGGAGATAATGCTGCCGGCTTCTTATTTACAATGTCAACAGAAAGTGAGAACAGGCATTTGCATGGCACTGTTGTAGCTGATGTCACACGATATTTATGTGCCAGATGTGCTAAAGATTCATATGCCTCTTCATGCTTCAGCCATCGTTCCAGGTGACATGCTTCCATGTTGATGATGCTCATTAAAAAAAGCAACGCATTAATTAAATTTGTGACTGAACTCCTTGGGGGAGAATTGTATGTCACCTGCTTTGTTTTACCCGCATTCTGCCGTTTATTTCATGTTATAACAGTCTCGGATGAAGACCCAGCACATGTTCATTTTAAGAACACTTTCACTGCAGATCTGACAAAATGCAAAGAATGTGAGATTTCTAAAGATAGCTACAGCACTCGACCCAAGAATTAAGAAGCTGAAGTGCCTTCCAACATCTGAGAGGGACGAAGTGTGGAACATGCTTTCAGAAGTCTTAAAAGAGCACCACTCTGATGCAGAAACTACAGAACCCGAACCACCAAAAAAGAAAATTAATCTTCTGCTGGTGGCATCTGACTCAGATGATGACAATGAACATGCATCGGTCCGCACTGCTTTGGATCATTATCGAGGAGAACCCGTCATCAGCATGGACACATGTCCCCTGGAACGGTGGTTGAAGCATGAAGGGCCATATGAATCTTTAGCACATCTGGCACTTAAATATCTTGCATCGCCGGCTACAACAGTGCCATACAAACGCCTGTTCTCACTTTCAGGTGACATTGTGAACAAGAAATGGGCAGCATTATCTCCTGCAAATTATAACCAACCTTGTGTGTCTGAGCGATTGGCTGAACAAGAAGTAGGACAAAGTGGACTTGCAGGCTCTAAAGTTTTACGTTGTTTTATTTTTAAATGCAATTATTTTTTGTACATAATTCTATATTTGTAAGTTCAGCTTTCATGATAAAGTGATTGCACTACAGTACTTGTATGAGGTGAACTGAAAAATACTATTTCTTTTGGTTTTTAAGTGCAAATATTTGTAATCAAAAATAAATATAAAGTGAGCACTGTACTCTGTATTCTGTGTTGTAATTGAAATCAATATGTTTGAAAATGTAGAAAATAGCCACAAATATTGAAATAAATGGTATTCTATTATTGTTTAACAGTGCAATTAATCACATGATTAATTTTTTTAATCGCTTGACAGCCCTACTTTTAAGTAGAGATTTTCAAAGGAATCTTTCATTGGGATTTGGGTGCCAAACTCCCTTAAGCACCTTTGGAAATCCAGCCTTAGCTCTGTAAGTGCTGGGTTCAAATCCTTCTGGTGTTCCACCTATAACAGACACAAGTAGAAGATAAATCACCTGCACATGCATGGGAAGATAGGACTAGAACCCTGCTCCTTCAGCTCCAAAAAGCACAAGTCTCTGCCACTTGAGCTAAAGGATTGTTCTCATTGCTTTCTCTGAGAGCATGTCCCATAGCCACTCTGCAGAGTACCAGCCACTAGAGGGCAGGATCACACACCAGTACATAAGAGCTGATCACAGGCTCCTTGCAGTGTATTGGCCACACAATGTGAGCTGTAGGCACACGAGGCTCAGCCCTGCCAATGACCCCTTTCCTGTCGTAGGATGACATTTGAAGACTTCTGCAAATATTTCACCGACATCATA